ATAATGACCGCTCGCGAAGTGCCGCCCGTTTTACTGCTGCTGCTGCTTATGACAGATTGCCGTCAAGTTGCTCGAGCAGCTTCTCCTGTAACAGCGGCTCGAGTAGCAGTGACAACGAGGATTGCCTGTATGTCCCACATAAGCTCTACTGCCTTTTCGGGCCTCCGCAGAAGGGGCCGAAAACCGAGACGTACTTGGACGCCAACAACGAGTATTCAGATGAAGAGGCATTTCGGCTAAGCTGATGCACATCGCTTGTTGACACACATCTTTCACATCATGCTTAACTTTGCTCGCGCGTTGAACATGTGTTGTTAGCGCGGGCCACTGCGAAAACATGTGCTTCGAGATCCGGGACCATTGGAAGGTGAATGACGAGAAGGCATCCGCCGATCCTGGAGGAGCGATGTTCTACTGAGAATCCGGAGGCGGAGCGACTCCGTTCGGATCGCGTGCTCCATTTAGGATCTAGTCTACTGATCCCGGCGCGCTCTAAAACGACCAGTTAATTCGTTATTAGTGAGTAGAAAACGGTCATTTTCTAAGTCACAAACTTCAAAAGACAACCGCTATTGAAACTTATCAAATGTAAAGGACCGAACGACAACCGCAAAAAAACTAAAAATCAGTAAACGGAGAAATGTTTATACGTGTATGTGCATTTTTACCACCCAAAGTTTGGAATAAAACTTGGAGGTCTTCTTTCCGGCAAAGACCCATAAACTTGGCACGCCTCTTCGGGCCATTGTCACGGAGAAAGGATCTTGGCAAAACATGGTCAGCTGTTACCTGCAAAAGCATCTGAGTGCTCTAGAGCTTCATGACCCTTTCCTTGTCAAAAATTCACAGTCCCTCATTGAGACCTTTAGTAAGGACGTTTCCGACAACTCGATGGCGGTTTCAGTCGATGTGCAAGAAATCTTTTACTCTGTGCCTCACAAAGACTTGTTCCTGGCGGTGCGTGAGTGCATTGAAGAAAATGGTGTTGTTGCCTTCCAGAATGCCAGCGGAGTGGGGATGGACGGTTTTTTGGAACTCCTAATGTTCGACTTGCGGTCCACATTTGTCCTTTTCGACGGAAGCTACTATGTACAGAGAGAGAGAGGGAATTTGCATAAGCTCGAGCGTTGCTGCGGTGCTATGCGACATTTACTTAGCGAGGTTTGATAGCTCTACGGAAACGGCATTGTGTCAACAGGTGTGCAAGGTATACAGATATGTTGACGATTATCTGGTGTTCTTAAAGGAGCTGTGCAACGATATTCAGTTGGAATGTTTTTCACTTTACACGAGCTTACTGGCACTAGTGGGACTCAAGGATACTCGCACGCAACGCCACTGGCCAAGAAACTCCTTTGTTGCAGTGTAATTTCAAGGACAAAAGCGATCATTTTAATAATAATAATTGGGTTGTGGGGATATTTATACAGCGTGTAGTTGGTCAGCCATTAAAGTTGCGACGAGTCACACGCTGTAGATGAGCAATTTAGCCACTGCAGTACAACCGCTAGCCTGGGGTCTTTAACGTGCACCACGCAGTAGTGATACACGACCGCACGCCGGTACGATGCTCATCCAGATCGAAACGGGCAGGGGTGGGGCTCGAACCCAGGATCCCTGGGTTCTGCAGCGCGAGCTTTCGCTCCACGCGCGTCGAGCTGGGTGTGCGCTTCAGCCCACTCGGCCACCGATCCCCCCGATCATTTTCATTCAATCTCTCTTTTGCGAAATTCGATGACGTAACGTGGGATCCTGGTACACCAAAATGACGATATTTGAATGCGGTTCATAGATTGGACCCGAGCATTGCGTGGGCACTCGATTTGGGCTCGTGATAATTACTAGCTCGAGAAGGATTCGGGTAGTAGCCCGGGTCCAATCGCTGCAACGACGACAATTGCCGAGCCATAACAATGTTTGGAACTCAGCGCGTGTCCTGTGCTTTGCCAACCGCAGCGCGTGGCTATGATCAACATTGGCGGCATATAATCGGTTCCAGGTTACTTGGCCGCTTGTTCTGGCTGCAAGTTGAGGGGGTGAACGCTGCTCGTTTTTCTTTAATTTTTTTTCTGGGACTTTCTTTTGCGTTGGTGAAAAACGAACGCGTGTTTCATGGGTCATTAATCTCAGGGATTCGTTCTAAGCGGTATTTGCGCGAAGTACAAAAATTGTTGCATCGCCCCTTTAAGTGCTGTCGGCAAATCGTCATTGCGAAAAATTGTGGATGATGTAATGACCGTTTTCAAGCGCTGCTCTGCAGGCCTACAGTTCACCTACGAACTGCAAGACGGTCAGTATTTGCAGTTGTTGGATTTACGGCTGCAATTCACTGGGCAACTTGTGTGTTGGCGTTACAACCCGCGAACCAAGAAGGAAATCCTGCCATATGATTCAACCCATTCTAAACTTGTGAGACGAAACATCACCACGTCATGCCTCCAAGCTTCACTGTACAGGTCTTGTCACCATGGCATGCTTGACAGCTATGAAGCTCAGGTCAAGCGACTTTTAGGAGCAGGATTGCCTCTCTCCGTTTTGCTTGGTGTCTCTCAGACACTTGAAAAAAGACAAGAATGGTTCTCAGGAACCAAAAGTAAAGCCTAAAAAAAGGCCTCAGGTTATCCCATATATACATAAGGTTTCACGTAATTAAAAAAAAAAGGTGGCTAACCGGTTCAATGTGCCAATGGTTTTTTCGGCGCCTCGCAAGCTAGCACAACTTTGCCCGCGCGTAAACCAGGAAAACAGTAACAAGAGGTCATGTACGGTTAAACATGTAGACAAGTTCGTGGATTGCGTGGTGGGTGTAATCTACAAACTCCCATTGTCATGCGGCCGGGTTTATGTAGGACAATCGGGACGCTGCGCCGATGAGAGAATGCGTGAACATGCCCTTTCCCTCCGGTCAATGACAGGAGGACGCTTATACGTACACTGCAGACACTGCCTGTGTCACCCCGTCTTCGAGTATACCATAATCATTAGCAGGGGGCGAACAAAAGTGCAAAGAGAGGTGCTGGAGGCGCATGCTATCAAAAAAACTGGCTCGGAGCACTGCGTCAGCCAGCCTTCGGTTTATCTTCACAAAAAAGAGATCGATTTTATAGATGCATGGTGAGCGACACACCATTGGTTGTTCCGGCGTTGGTTGGCTTCGTGGTGTTTTCTTGTTTTCAGCCATTTTTAATAAAACTTCAGTTGATAGTCAGCGCTTGTCCTGTGCTCTACTCTCGTTGTCCTCGTCTTTTTTGCGCGCTGTTCCCAATTGCTCAAATGCTTCTACACTTTCCTTAATTCTGTCAATGCGCCATTGCAGTGTTTTTCTGCAAGGTAAGAGAAACAATTACCAAGGTGCAGACCTTACAGGTGATGTTTTGCTGCTTCTTTGTGCATATAAAGCCGTCGGCAGCGGAACAGGCTAATTGGGACCGCCAACTGGGGCCGCCGATGTCCGCCTCTATGCCCTGCCAGTCCGAAGCGGACAAATGCATGGGACCTTTCGCTCCAGATTATTATATTAACTCTATGATCTCGTGTCAGGTGAGAAATCTCTTTGCGATTGACTAGGACAAAAAAATATTCTGAAGTGTGGCTATACAAAGACGGCTCTATGACACTACAGCGCTACTGCCGCAGATATAACACTCCGAAGGTCTGCAACTCGGCGTCAAGGCACTGGTAGCAGACGACAATGTTGGTTTCTATTTCGAGTCTAACCGGAAGTTACGTGAGGTACAAGAAGCCCATACGAATTATATTGTCAAGTTGAGCACTTTTTACATATGCATTACGCTGTGCCACTTCACAGACCATTGGTTGCTTATGGGCAGGGAAATAAAAACACGATGATGATGATGATGATAACGATGATGCTTGGTGTTCCAAGTGTGTCACGGTGTCCGCTGTGACGCCGAAATTTCTGAGGGCGGGAGCCGAAGCACCATGGCTATGCGACCATACCATCCATGACTCTATCGGCGTAATTATTTTAGTGCCGAAGTAAAATCCATAATATAAATGAGGAAAACGAAAATGGCGAGGAATTTCTTGGCTGAGATCGCCACGCGTTTGGTTCATAAACACTTTTTGGAGAAGAAAAAATAATTATGTTCTACAGAACTACGAGCCAAGAAATAAAACAAGCGTATGTTTTGGTGGCATTCAAGGTACCCTCCCCCCCCCTCCCCCCCCCCCCCCTATCCACTTACGCTCCGAAACAATCAAAGACGCAACGCTCAAGAAGGAAAGTGATGGCGACAGTTTTTTTGAAACGCAAAGGGGATCTTGCTGATTAATTATCTGGAAAGCAGCCGGTCGTGCAGGCGAAACTTATGCCAACGTTCTCTGCAAACTGCCTCAAGCCTTCGTGAAGAAGCGACGAGGATTGGTGACAAGAGAGGTCCTCCTCTCGCACGACAACACCCCCGTTCTCAAGTCTCGTGTTGGCCAGCCTGTCATTCGAAAGTGCGCTCTCGAAGCGCTTGACTGCCCTCCCTGCAGTCCCCATCTGGCGATTAGTGATTTCCTTTTTTATATCCCAATCTGAAGAAACACCTCAGGGGAACAAGGTTCGATAACTTGAACACAGTGGAGACTGCCACAGAGCAGTGGCCTAACAAACAGAAAGCTTTTCTTTTTTCTTTACAATGTATCAGCAGTTTTTTTAGGCAAGTGGGAGATGTAAAACTATTTCGTTGAAACAATTTTTTTCCCAAAGCCATGGTAGTTTTTTTAGGTACATTCGAGTTGCAGTACTTTTTTTTTTTTTATCAACTTTTGTATTTCTGTTTTTGTTCACGCTGATTGCCCGCTCCAATTTTGCGCAGGTTTTCCAGCTGGCTGAACCAACCATTTTGCCGCCGAAAAAGAAAAAGAAAAAAAAACAAGTAACATCTATCATCTGCAGATCCGTACAGGCAGACCCAAGAAACATCGCGCAAGAAATTAAAACATTTCTCACTGCCAAATCCTCAACACATTTCGCTTTTTTCGGTACGGGAATGGCGAGAATCATGAAAAACAGTCTCGATAGGAACTATTCGGTCTACGTAGAAATGGATGCTTTGAAGCTTGCTCGAGAACTGGTAAACCAACAGGTAAGTGAACGGAGTACCCGAAAGTTATTAGAAACGTCGGTGTTGGCACATATAAAGACGTATGCGGCCTAAATGTTTTTATCGACAGGAGTTTGCTTATTGGCTGGATTTTATGCAAACAAAGTGTTATGTTCGGATGCTATCCGTTACACGCAGCATACACACAGCCCATAGAGGGCAACGTATAAGCATGCAAATCATATATAGACGTACTTAATGATAGTTAGTCAAGCTTCAGCTTGGCTAGGTACGACTCAAAGAATCTTGCGATGGTAGGTGACTCTCGGCGAGTGCAGCTGGCTTCTAAATGACGAAGCGTGGTTCCTCATGCAGGCCTTGTCTCCTTGGTGGTATTTGCCAGGTGCCTTTTGTTTTGTTAGGCACGCAAACCCACAAAGTTTCCTTTTTGCCATTTTTACAGTCGTTTTCAGCGCAGACGCGGTTTAGGTATTTAGGAACTATACAAAAGTGAGAAAATAAACAGGTCTTCATAGTCGAAATTACGTCATTCTCGCCACAGGAAACGGATGAGGCCTTCTTTATCTGCGGCTTGCGAGACTTGGAGCAAAAAGTGAAACTGTGGCAGCAGGAGTTGCCACAAGTGACACCATACTACGGTGAGGCGGTTCCCCACCTGCCTGTTTACATGTTACATCTTCGTTTGTGCACTTCGCTCATTTGCAGAAAGGAGGAACTTAAGATCGTTATTTATGAGCATGATTTAAATGTCAAATTTTGTAGATACCTGGAGGAGATCGGTCCTGGTGAAGTGCGTACTTGTTGCCTTCCGCTGTGCTTTGGCTGCGCGTGTTCACGAGACGCTGAAATGTTATCCAAGGTGGGGTGGGGCTGGAAAGCGAGGTTTTCTCATTACCTGTATCGCTGCAGTTCAGTTGCTCATGACGGAGGTAGATGGCACACTCATCGAATCTGATATAGAAGGACTCAATAACCACGCGCCCTTGGCCGCGTCGTCGCGCGTGCTATGATCATGAAGTCTTGAGAACTGTTAGTGGTACACTGGGGGTGCTACTAACCGCTCTTTCAACCCATGACGGATTATATCGTTTCCTGTAATACGTCTCTGATTGAGAGGATAATCCCTGGTCTTCGTGAAAACCGTAGCAGGCATAAAATGGACATGAAAACTAAGCAGACAGGATTGGAGACATGAACACCCTTTCCTAAAAGTATACCCCCGTGGAACATTATGGTTAGAGCCCTACAGGCCCGCGGATAACCCGCGGATCGTCTGCGGATATCCGCAGGTGGCAGATGCAGATGCTGATCAAACTTAATCGTTATTGGTGGGTTGTGGATCGGATACGGACGCCAGGGACTGCGGATGCGGATCAGATGCCGATATCCGCAAGTCTGGATCTATATTTTTGCCGAAGCAGCCTATAAACGTGCGTATCATGCCGTAGGAGTCTCGACCCCCGACCACTAACAAACGCCACAGTTAGAAGATAGGGACGCGTCTCCTTTCCGCAATATTTCAATGCTGTTCAGCCTTTTTTTCATGGAGCACCCAAAGTGCGGCTAGCGTGGCACTGCACGCAGACGACAGCGGCATTAGCCATAGTACGATCGAAGTTACGGTCTACGTCAGCGTCACAACATGACTATCCGCCGGTCGATTGATTGCATCATAGTCGCACAAACGGTTCCCTAAAACAGTGAAATCTGAAATTGAATATCAGGCAGGGAGCATATGTCATCTTACTGTGAAACACAGGGAGACCTGAGCGACCAGTCGCGTCTTCATTCACAACCAATTCCAGGATAGCAAGCACTCTTTTAGCGATACTGGTGATGCACAGAAACGCGAACCAAGATGATCGTCAGATGATCGTCGGTTGGCACTCGGACACTGGCAACATCGGCGACCGTTCGCAGAGTCGTTCATGACCACTTACACAATTGACAGCAGTGCCCGAGCATGTTGGTTTTGTGCGGAGAAACGAAAACAGGGAGATTAACGGTTGACGCACTCGGCAAAAATGTACTACATTAGGCGCACAAACAAATAATCGACATGGGAGTCGCAGCTATGCGGATTTCCCAGTCTCATCTGTCACGGGTAGGCAGCGGCTCTCAAGTCTTCGATGAACTCGTATCATCGGGTCTTCAACTGCTCGAACCACTCGCTTGATATAGCATGCGAGATAATGACTGACGACTCTGAACAAGAACCGCCTTTGATAAATAATTGGGGTTGTGTGGATATTTATACAGCGTGTAGTTGGTCAACGATTTCAAAGTTGCGACGAGTCACTTGTTGTAGGAGCAATTTAGCCAGTGCAGTACAACCGCTATGCTGGGGTCTCTAAAGTGCACCATGCAGTAGTGATACACGACCGCACGCCGGTAGGATGCTCATTCAGATCGAAACCGCGTTCGATCTGCCATGTCGGACATGACATTGAGTGATGTGCTAGTGACGGAAACGAGTGCGATGACGCCTGGTATCGGAAGCCTGACCGCAGCCAAAATGTGGAACACGTCGCTCTAGGTGCGGCCTGCACAGTTTTTATTAATCGTAATTTTGGCCCGCCTAACTTTTTAATTGTGCACCCGTGGTCTAGCACTTCACAGTAGATAATAGGGTTGGTAAGAGTCGTACCCTCGCTCCTAACGCACATTTCCATGACTTCCCAAATAGCTGCCAGGTGATGCAGTGTGCGTCGAAAACCATATATTCCGCCATTCTCATTTCATCATTCTCACGATTGTACCTTGTACTTGGACATGCAAAGGGAAGATAATTACAATGAGGGCGAAAATGTAGAGCAAGGAACGACAGTAATCAGTTTTTTTTTACTTAAATACTCTGAAGTGTACTTAACAAACTGGTCATCGACGAGTGGGGATCTGCATATCGGCCTATGACGGAGTGGCCTATTTTACAAGTTGTCTATCGACAAATTGGCCTTTGACCAACTGACTTTCAACAAGTTGGCTGGATAAATACCACGACCGTGTTTTTTAAGCCAGGGGCAGATGATGCAACCCGTAGCCGCTCTTGCCATGTTCCGGTGTCGGATACAAGGCGTCGACGCTCTTGCCGCTCAAACTGAAATACAACACACACACACGCACACACACACACACACAGACGCACTCACGCACGCACGCACTCACTCACTCACGCACGCACGCACGCACGCACGGACGCACGGACGCACGCAAGCAAGCAAGCAAGCAAGCAAGCAAGCGAGCCGGTGTTTCTCCTTGCGAGGGCTGGCGGTCCCTGATCGTCTCGTGGCATCCTGAAGACGTTCTTGTTGTGTTTAGAGCTCCAAAGCGCAGGCCGCCACCCGCCTGATATGTCAAAGTTTCTGCGCCCTGGGTAGAGTAGGCTGAACTCGGGCAATATCCCTTTCAGCGCTCCCGGAAACACAACAATACGCGATTACGCAAAGAACGTAAATATTCAGACCCACAGTTATTTATTCATTCTTCCAACGGAGCTGAGTTCCAGGCCGTAAATTAATCGATGATGTGATAATCTTCGCTCATTTGTCACTGGCACACCGGGACTTGAGGCAGTCAAAAAATATATGTATCGTTTTATAGATACAGGCTGTCCAAGGTTACTTTTTATGTCCAATCACCATAACACGCGCGAGCGGACATAATAATGTCTAAGAGTTACGTTTAGAATAAACGAAAATTATCACAGATCTCACCTGTGAGTTTGTTTCTGCTACTATGAGACAGACCATCAATCAATGTGTTTATCATTGATTTCCTGTAAATGATTAGGAGATATTCTAGCTCCTGCCACGCGTGGCTCTAGAGCTTGACCATTAAGGTCATCTGACATAACAGCCCGTGGCTTTCTGCTATGAGGTTTTTCTTAACACATAGTTTTCAAGAATATAATAGTGTACGTATATGGATATACATAAAGGGGAGGATCTAAGCTGCTACTTCAGAAATCAGTAGGGATATGCTGCGGCATATGTAGAAAGAGCTGGAATGTCGCCTTTGTCATTTTACGCACAGACAATGACGCACACTGAGACTATACTCATAAACAGCGTGTTGGTAAAGTATGAAGAAGGAAATATAGAGAGGACAAAACAACCTCTCTGTTTTATGATGTTTTGTTATCTAGTACATTTAGAGATTTTTGTAATTTCATGGCAACAGGAAACTTTTATATTCAGCAACGCATTTTTCTTTTTGTGTCCCCTCACACATGTGAAGATCTTTCACGAACATCCTGGGTTATATAGAGATTTAGTGGCTAACATATGCTAGTTAAATTTTCTAGAGCTCTTTCCTATGCTTGTTATGAAAAAGAATACAACATTTGTGAGGATGAAAAGGATGAAATAATGAAACTACTGCATATTCAAATTGGTTCCAGCCGTAAAAGTGTGCTCAGACCCGGTTATTCTTCACACCATGACAGGGGTGGCCAGGCTGACCCGGACTAAGAGCCGTAATCAAAACCACGAAGCTTCTAAGAGCCGCGGGGGGGGGGGGGGGGGGGGGGGGGAGTATACTTTTGTTTAAGTTTTGGACAAAAGTTCGCCCCCCCCCCCCCCCCCCCCCCCCGAAGAAACATATGCAATAAGCCATAAAAGGAAACAGTTTAGTGAAGAGCCGCAGTAACAAGGGGGCGTGGCAGGTTTGTTTATTTCATTCATTTCGGTTACGGGCACAGTGAATTACACTAATGCAGCGGTTGCTCATTATGTGCCTGTGTTGGGCTTCCCCATTCGTAAAACAAGCGCCTTGAAGTTCGACTCGAACGACGTCGTTGCGCTCCGGAGCAGCTCAGTCAGATGATCGTCCGTAAGGGTCGCGCGCTGTTTTGACTTCCCCGCTTTCATGGTTGAGAACAGCGCCTCGCAGCAGTATGTTGATCCAAATATGGAGAGGAGTTTCTGGCCCGCGAGCTTGACGTGGGGATACCTTGCTTCTGGCAGCTGCCGCCAGAATACTGCAATTTTCTGAGACTGCAGGAACGTCTTCAGCCCTTCGTCTTCTTGCAGTTCAAGCAGTTCCAGTTCGAAGGCCCCTACATCTCCTGCCAAGTTTTCCCTAGTTGGAATGTCGACAGTCAACATAACAACCATAAAAGAATTCATCAGAAGCGCAAAACAAGGTTTGAGTTGGTGCATATCTTTGAACCAGGACTGAAAGTCCCTCTCGAGTTCCTCAAGCTTTACGAAATATTCCCTGACCTTAGCATCGGTCAGTTCAAACTCAGGTTCTGCATTCAACATGCTCTTCAGCCGCGGGAAGTGGATCAGGCGCTTTGTTTTCAGGTCCTTTTGAAGAAGATTTATCTTGTTTTGGAAGCTGAAGACTGTTTGGGCGAATACCGAAAGATACCATTTTTTCTTTCCCTTGCAGCGACATGTTTAGGGATTTAAGGTGCTGAACTACGTCAGTCAGGTAACCGAGATCGACAGACCGACCTGCGTCATGAGGTTCAGGACATGGCTTCTCTTTCGCCCCCAGAAAAGCTTGGATTTGCTTTAGGAGATACACAAACCTTGATAGTACGTTGCTCATTGACAGCCAGCGTACCGCACAAAAAAAAAAAAAAAAAACACAGAAAAAAACACGATACGTCGATGGGCGCTTCATGAAGTTCCAGTTCTTCGAGGAAGTTGCGGAATTGTTGGTGGGTTTTGCATTCGATCGTATGTAGTTGACGACTCGAAGGACGGCGCTTATAACGTATTTATAGTTGAAGTGCTTCACCACCAGTGTTCACGATGAATAATGCAATGAATTGGGAGAAAATCTGGAATGCTTGGGGCGCTCCCCAAAAGTCCTACCAGGCCCGCATTCTTACCAACCATAGCAGGCGCACCATCAGTGGCAATGGCGCAAGCTTCTGCAGAGGAACGTCGAACCTCTTCAACGTTGTTAACAATGCATTCTTAATGTCAACACTACGAGTGGTTTCCTTTAGGGCAGCCATGTTCAGAAGCTCTCTTCTCTCTAGCTTTCGTCGGATGAAGCATAACGAACAAAGATTGCAAGCTGCGGCTTGTCATGTATACCCGTAAATTCATCAAGGGCTCAACTGAATGCTTCACAGCGGATTAGGCGCTCCTGAAGCTTGTCGACGACGTTGGCGCTTAGCTGTGAAATGCGCCTTTCGACCGAATGTCGTGAAACTGGTACTTGGTTGACCAACCCGTGAAGATTTTTGTTGTTTTGATCCAACAATGCCACGACGTCGGAGATGTTGGTCTTCACAAATTCTCCTTTTGAGTAAGCTCGCTTGGTACGAGCGATGTTCCAGCCTCCCAGCGATTGCAAAAATTGCTGCTGCTGCTACTTCAGATTCCTTGCTGAAGGCATTCATCAAGGACTGCTGATTCTGATGTCGCGATTTGATCTGGGCCAGTTTGGTTTTTCTCAACTCAGATGAAGCTAGATAGTCTAGAGAAAAGGTTTTGTGATTGGCCTCGTAATGCCGTCGAACATTGCTCGCCTTGTGGTGCTAAACTGCTGCAATACAGATTAGGCAAAGGGGCTTACCGTTTTTCTCTATGAAAGCGAAATCTTCCTCCCTCTCAGGGATGAATGTCCGATGTTCATCTTCGTACTTGCGTTTCTTGTTGGACGTCATTGCGACGACGTCCGCAGAGCCTCGTCACTACTTCGCCAAGGGTGGTTAGACATAGGCAGCAATTAACTCCTTGTCTCGACAAAGCGCGTGGAATACCGTGGAGGCAGCTGAAGAAGTGATGACCTCGTCGCATGAAATCCTGACAGTTATTTAGCACTTTTTATCTTCCGTATGCACATGTCTGCTTTTCCAATCGAAGCATGACCATGGTGCAACAAACCTTTTGCCCTTCCATGCAAGCGTTCCAGACGCGCCTTTACTGACCACTGGCTAGTCATCCCCCCCCGCCCCCTCCCCCCGAAAGTACAAAAAAACAGCTTGCAGGTCACAGCTGTAAGCCGGTGAAGATAATAATGAGAATGTTCTCGGTCCTTTGTGAACTTGAACATAACATCTGTGACTAGTGGAAACTATGAGTGAGGTCAACCCGGGCTTCCGCGACCTTTAACAAGAAACAATATGGAGGGAACACTCATTATCTAAAGGGGGCAAGTATCACCGGCGAGTGACAAAGGCCGGGAGACAGAACATTTCCTCGACCCCAAGCCAAAGTTCATGCATGGTTTGACAATCCCTGTCCTTGATGCATTTCCCCCTAGGGTCCAGTAAACTCTCTCGAATAATGAAAGGAACAGGATCTGTGGAAACATACGAGTGAAAAGGGGTTCGACTGCAACTATGGTGGCACAAAGCTTCCAAAGCGCAAGCTGTTTGTTTATTCTGAAATCGTTTTCTTCTTTCCTGGGGAAAGAGGGAAAGGATTTCTTTCTTTCCCCAGGAAAGAAAGAAGGAAAGTGGCGTGCGAGGGGGGGGGGGGGGGGGGTGGCTCCCTTACGAGGGATCCGCGAGCCGCACTTGGACGAGCAAAGAGCCGCATGGGGCTCGCGAGCCGCAGTTTGGCCACGCCTGCACCATGAATTCACTGGGGGTCAGTTTCGACTGCTCTAACAAGGTAACTTTCCTTTCGTAAATGCTTTAACCAGCATATTTCACCTTAAGCTGACTACATATTTTTTATAGCTAATCTTGTGAAATTAGGAGTGGCGTGAATCAATTCATTAAGTGGCCATTCAAATTTTAAACTCACTTTATGGTTTTTAAAGTACCGCTGCCACTTTTGGTAACAAAAGTAAAAAAAGAAATATAGGGCATGCTTAGCGAAGGTAGCTAGAGAGAGAGAGAGAAAGAGGTGAGTATTTCCTAGAGAAGAAGATGAAATGCTTGATTTAGTTAAAGTTCATCCAGCTGATGTGATAGTTTTCCACAGGACAGAAATAAGAATATATCATAGGGGAATGTAACATTAATTCGGAAGCAGCGCGGAAGAGAGTGAAATGCAGTTATTAATAGGATTGGGATTATTGTTTGTAAGACACGGTTGATGAATGCATTCAGTAACAAAATCTTCCTGGTGCTTCTCGTGCCTGCAAAACAACGTCTCGAATGGGAGAAAAAAAATCACGTAATACATTTTAATTAGACAAGATGCAAACAGAATGGTGAAATGAGGTACTGGTAGTACCCAAGGGGTCGGGCAATTTAGGTGACATTCCTTGACGTGCGGTGCTATCCCGATGCCATTATATCTTGAACTTGCCATTAGCATAGTGCCCGGAACGTGTCTCAGACCTGTTGTGTTTACCGTGTCTGCGTTTCTGACCATTCGTTTTCCGTTTCGTGACGTCACAACTGGCGGATGTAGTCGTTGGTCTCGATCACGGCGGTGTCCCAGCGGGGGAGAGGGATATTGCTGACGCCTGGTTTGTGCTACGACGCTCTGTTTCAAAGGGTTGGGACATAGTGACAACAACAATCCTTACGTCTGTGCCCACCTTGCGAGCCAGCACTTAAACAATCGACCGACAGGATCGCGCGTGACAAGCTATATTGAATGTGCAACCGACTCTCATGACGTAATTTGTTGCTAGTTTGGGACCACGTTTGGTGCATGGTCGGTATGCGACGCTGAAGACAGCAATCATAGACGTGCTCCAGACACCGTATACCATCAGCGATATACGTATATATATATATATGCTTTCCTTTCTAGAGAGAGTTGAAGACAGTGCTCGACATGGGCGTAACACCCGACCGCATCGTGCACGCCAACACAGTCAAGAGTACTTCCCACTTGAAGTACGCCTCTGAGCACGGTGTTACCTTGATGACATTCGACTCTGCAGAAGAGCTGGTGAGGATGGATGACAAGAACGCAAGGTACTTTCAACGTTCAGTTAACGGTTTCATTGTGAACTGGATTCACAATGAACCGTTAACTGGGTTAACGGTTCATGGTGAACTGGGTTAACGGCTTATGGTGAACCGTTAACCGAACGTTGTTCGGTTAACGGTTCATGGTATGGCTGACTTGCTGCCTGACCAAAAGTCGCAGGTGACACACATACCAGAAAGCTTGCTCGGTGCTAACATTTCCGACAAGAAGGGAGATAGGTTGTAGGGGGCAGAACTTGAATCAGTGGTGAGAAAAGGGCTTGTTGAATTTCCAGAAGCTTATAGGATGGTGAAACGAAAGTGATTTATGATGGTGGTTATGCGTCTTTCATATATTTTTATTAATCGATTTTTTTTTATTCTTTATTTTTTCGTCTTTATTTGTTTCCTTGAAATTGATTTACTGTACCCTCTCTTTCTCTTTTGCGTTATTATGTAGACGCTGGAGTTCTTGAGAGCACCAACTTTTCTGAATGCAATATATGTTATCTTCATTTTCTTCTCTGGCTATGGAGGCGATTGAATTTATGGAGAAAGCGCTTTCTCCAAACAAAACACATAATATTATTTCTATCTGAATCCCCCCCGTATATCTTTTTATGTGCAGACGATGTGAGACACGCTTAAAAAAACACTTTGTCGTCACTTCAATGTTTTTTTGTTTTTTTTTTTTATGTAGATTGTTGCTGCGCATAGCAGCCAGCGAGTTCGGCAGCCGATGGACGATGAACGAGAAGTTCTGTGCTTACTCTCACGAAATCGAGAATATTCTGAAGGTGGCTCTCAAGCTTGGCCGGAACGTGGTCGGAGTTGCGTGAGTACCTTTTGCTACGTTCTGTCAAAGCAAATTTGTTTCAAAAGGCTGATTTGCTTACGAGAGAGTCCTTGCCATCTCTTACAACGAGGGAACACACCGACACGCTGGTGGCACATATGAGGGAACCCTGGAGCTGCATTTCACCAGAGCAAAGGTTTTGTAGTGTTTGCCTGATCAAATGTACGTATACTATCTATAAGAAATGGTGAAATAACATTGTCAAACGTTTTTCAAGCCAAGAGAAAGAGCCATGCTCGAAAAATATAATGCACGGGAACCCCAAGCGTTCTACGGCTAGTCGAACCGATAGGTGGCGCCAGTGTGTTAAGAGATCACAAACGCTAGGTCGTAAATTGTCGCAAAGTGAAATATGTGTCGTCGCTGGATTTGTTGCAGCTTCCACGTGGGATGCGCCTACCATCATCCGGACATCTTCGTCAACACCATCGATCACGCCAAGCAAGTCTTTGACATGGGCACCGAAATGGGATTTCGAATGAACGTGCTTGACATCGGCGGTGGATTTCCGGGTGGAGTAAGAAAGCAGGATACGCTGGCCAAGGCAAGTTTCCACGGAACTGCTAAACCCAGACTGGCCGGCAAGGACAACCTGGGGCAAAGATTAGAATGCATAAACAGTAATTGCAATTTGTGGTGTGCATGTTTAGAGAGCCGGAAGTTTGTAAGCCTCAATAACCTCTGGTGTCCCAGCTGTAGATGAAAAAATTTACCAGCGAAGGTTCAGTCTTGTATACGTTGCTAAAAACAAGTAATCGATTACAGTTACTCTTGCTTAAGAAGTATTGAAGTAGATTACTTGATTACTGAATACGAAAAGTGATTGGCCGTTACCTGAAAAAAGTAATAGTGATTTCTCCGAGTACTTCATATTTTCAAAGCGATAGCGTTATATGGCGATTTGAAAACATATATTTCGTGCTGTTCATAATTCAATTAAATCACAATATTATAAAGTAATTATCGTCTTATTTTATGAGTTTTGGTCAACAATCCTCCTGCTAAACATTTTGGTTCGAGAATTCTTTGGTAGAAAACTTGTACGAACAAAAGGCGCCACTAAAAACGAAAAGAAAAACAAGTTAACCGGTTCAAGTAATTAGTAGCTCTAAAAGTAACCAGACTCTTTTTGTGATTACTTTCTAGTAAATGTCATAAATTGATTACAGCCTTACTGTATCGGAAACCAGCGAGGAACCAAGACGACGGTGTGAACCGAACGAACGTCGACCCTTTAAAGGCGGATTGGGCGCTCGTGCCTCGAGTCCCTATATGGGGTGGCTGAGTTGCCAGACCATGTTGCTGGCTCTGCCGTTACTCTTACTTCAAAAATTATCCATTAAAAATAATTAAATTACTTGTAAAGAGCCCGTGCAAGTCTGTGAAGATCTCAGTACCGGTCTGGAATTTTTAACGCGCATCACGCAGTATTGAACCACAGGCCGGTACGATGCTGGTACGGATCGAAACGGGCAGGAGTGGGGATTGAGCCCAGGATCCCTCTGTTCTGCAGCGCGAGTTTTCGCTCCATGCGCTCTAAGCTACGTTGCGCTGACACAACTCGACCCCTAATTCTCCCTTCAATTTCAAAAGCCATGCGTATTTTTCTACAAGATCACAGCGGCTATCCGTTCACAAAAACATATGTGCTATTATTTTTTCCCTACGGAGTTAGAATAATTCGACCTATGAAACTAGGGTGACGGATTTCGGGGATGAGTTATCCTCTGAAATTAAAGACACGACTTTGACTGACGGGCATCGCCACGCAAGCTAACCACCCATTTTCGTCCTTGAAAAGCATTTTGACTATTTTCCATGGTAACTTTCGCGAGAAAGTAGATAATCCAGGGACTTGAAAATAAAATTAGAATGTTGCTGCTGTATTGAGTGAGCACAGTTTCACGACTCGCGAAGATTCAAGATCAGTCAGGTACGCCAGTCTTGCGGAACGGTTTACCTGTATCTTGCTATATGAAATACCAATTCGCCGAGGCAGTTTATAAGGCTATGATAAGGAGCATTCGGTAAGAGGCACTTTATTTTTAGAGTGAAGATATAGGAAACTATTTCGGTTTATTCCGATCACACTAACAAGCAGTATGGAGCTGGTCAAAGCAAATCCAGCTAAGTCACCCCAAACAGCCTCGTCTTCTTCGAACGGAACTGTCATATCGTTGTAGACTGTACGTGCCGAATAAACGCAGGCACTACACCTTGTGTTCTGTTGGTCAGCTTGAGCTCACTGTACGTACTATACTAGGGTGCCCGGAACGCGTCTTCGACTGGTGTGTTTAACGCCTTATGCCGCCTTCCAGGTGGCAAAATATGACGTCACACTACAGGGCGGAGTGTGATACTCTTGTATGTCGCGATCCTGGTGGTTGGTGCTAGAAGTCTCGGCAAAAAAGTGCGAGTGATCACGAGTGTCGCTGTCATCGCGGAGTCCTGACTCTTAGCTGCTGGAGCTTCCTTGGACTGTCCATCAGAAGAGCGACCTGCACCAAGACATGCGTCTGTCACCACCACCACCACAGCTGGTGTGACGCCGCCAGTATCGCGGCCGGCGACAACATTGACACTTCTATGACGTCATCGGGCGAAAACCGAGGGACCAGTTTTCAAAACGCGATGAACACACCCGTTGGAGATGTGTTGCACGCGCCAGGGTACTACTATATTCTCGGTCGAGCCAGTCACATTTCCCACGCGGAAGACGTAATCATATTTTTCGGTTTCTACACCACGAAAACGTGAGTCCAAATGCGACGGTTCTCGGCGGTCTATTTTCAGGTGTGCGAGGCTGTTCGGTTCACCATCGATAAGCACTTTCCGCCGTCCAGCGGGGTGAAGATCATCGCCGAACCGGGCCAGTTCTTTGTCACGGCAGCGTACAGCCTGGTCGTCCGAGTCGTCGGCAAGAGGCAGAGGGAAATCAGCATCGATGGTGAAGCTCCGCCAATTTGCACTATTTCCAGCAAAGAGCTTTGTTTCATCACGAATGCTCCACAGACGCAATAACACCGCTTGATACGTCACACAAAAAGACACGGTGTTTGAGGCAGACATGATGACAGAATTATCTCTGTGGAGACGTCTCGAGCGAGTTCGAATGATAATATTTTCTACTCATGTACGCATCAAGCATGTCTGCAGACAGTTCTTTTATGACCAAATCTGAGGCGCGGAAGAATCGCGCCTCAGATGGCGTCAGCACACTGTCTTTCGTGTGGTGCGATCAACCGCGGCTGAATACTATAAGTAGACTGATATATTGTGCTCGCAGTAATAATGACACGGAAAACGTTCAGCTACGCCTATTCCCCCGAGACGCTAGTGATGATCGTTTAAATATGCTCCAACGGCTGTCGTTGACCCAATGGCTGCGACGACCCAGACGCCTTTGTTCAATAGACCCTTTACTAAATTCAGTCTGGCCATCTTAATCACTATCATCATCGCCAACAATAAACGACTCGAGTGATCTCTATTGTAGTAGGCTGGATCGCGGATCAGGAGACCGTCGGTGTCGCCACCGGCGGCCATTGCTTGACACCAGGCAATACACGCAGGTCTATGGGAGAAACGCACAAAAATAAGAATATTGAAGCATGTACGCTGTGCTCGGAGGCAAGAATTTCGTCGTGTGCTATGACCTTATGTCGAACGTTTGGAGATCGCATCAGTATTGGTCAAACGTTCGAACGCCGATTAAAGAAATGAAACGTACCGGAGCACCTACGGCTGAGCTGGCGAGCTTGCTCTCGTAGTGGAGTAAACAAAGGAACTTGGCGTCAATGAGACCGTCCTCTGGGAAGCCCAGAAGTTAATGAGTGACGAAGATGTTACATCTCGACAGCGGCTTTCCGGGAGTGAGCGAATTGCGCGTAGCAAAGCCTTCGAGCTTGTCGTTTGCTAAACCCAACTCAACGAAACCGCCACCGACTCCGCGGTAACTCTATAGGTAACTCTCGCCTCATTGAGCTCCACTACAGCGGAGTCACTCTCGACCACAAAATATATATTTATAACAACTGCGAGGGCTGTCAGTTTTAATGTTTGTACGCAAGCTATTTGACGGGCTTAAAGGAAAGCATCTGAAACGTTTCATTGCCGACAACAGCTTAGAAACGGGGGAAACAGCACTTAGCCCCAGCTGCCGAGGCCGCGGTCCGCGATCCAGCCTACTACAATAGAGATCAGTGGGCGACTCCCTCGCCGGGGGGAAAAGGCTGAAGGGGGGAGTGAAGCTTTTAGTTTTTTTTGCCCGATTCCCCCAAAGGTCATCCTGGTATATCCCATACCTCCTGGTGATAGTTACGAAATTGCTGACTGTAGGCAAATCGGCGCAAGAAAGAAATAATATTTTTGGTTCTCAGTTTCTAGGCTAGGTGGCGGAAGCTACCGGCTGTTATAAAGGGTACAGCCGTTAGCGTCCGTCCATCCATCCGGCTGCGATGATCGTCAGCGATGATCTTTCAGATGTGCTCAAACGGCTGCCGTTGACCCAATAACAGAGACGACCCAGACGTCTTTGTTCAATAGACCCTTTACTAAATTCTGTCTGGCCACCTTCATCACTATTATTATCGCCACCAAATAGGCGACTCCCTCGCCGGGGGGAAAAGGCGGGTGTTGCAGTTTTTAGGGTATTTTTTGCCAGATTCCCCGAATGGTCATCCTGATGATATCTCCACCGCCTGGTGATAGTTACGAAATTGCAGAGGGTAGGCAAATCGGCGAAGAAAAGAACTCATACTTTTGGTTCTTCAATTCTAGGCTAGGTGGGGGAAGCTAACACTTGTTATAAAGATTACAGCCGTTATCGTCCATTCATCACTCCGGCTTGTTCGGACACCATTAGCTTCACCATGTCGAGGCTGTAACGCTACTCGGAGTGTTGTTGTTGTCAGTGATGTCGTGGTGCAGAGCGTTTTATTTGTGCCAAATTACCTCACCAGCGACAAGGTTGACGGATACCACTCATCGTGAAGACTTCAACCCGCGCCCATATATACGCAGCCAGAAGTGTATGGTCTAAGGCTACGTGCAGTGCGGATCAATCGAAACGTTGTCGTGCACTGCACAGTGAGTACCTGTTTGTTCTGCTTTGGGTCGGATTCTAGTTTTTGGTCAATGTTACGTACTGCATATAGCATCTATTATCTCTGCAATGATCATGCACGTAAGTACGGCGGTGGATATGATAAAGAAAAAAGTCAGTTCGAACCAGTCTTCCCTGCTGCCTTCGTGCATGTTGGCTTGGGACACACGGTGGCTTGGGTGTAGACGTAAACATGTTTGTTGTGAGAAATAAAAATCTAATGCTTTCTCGTTCCATTCTTTCGTGCAGCGACTCGTCGATCGTGCGTGTGCGCGCACTACGCTTCCGGAGCCGAAATAAAACCGCATCCCCAAACCGGGCGTCAGCAGTGTTGACACATTATGGCTTGCTCAACTCGTGCGCATGCTGGTGCATGGCGAAGGAGAATGGTGCATGTCGTCATACTGTGGCACTTAAGCTCATCGTGCTGCTCCCTAAACGAGGGTATGAAAATGTGAGAGCTGAAGTATCTTGCATGGAGTTGCCTCAGAAGTGGAAACTACCGCGAGGGCATAAAGTTCCAGCGTGCAGCATTGATGAGCTTGAATGGAGGTCTGCAAGACGTGATGGAGTCACGTGGTCTTTTGCGTCTAGACTATACGAGGCTCGAAAGAGGCGAAGAAACGTCCACGATGTAGAAGAGGCTGCAAGGAAGTTCGGAACAGAGCCCATGCTCATGCCGTATCCGCATTTATTAGACATCTTCAGTTTATGCCGGCACGAGAGGCTAACTCCACCCATGGTAAGACATGGGAGGGTAACCATTTGTGGTGTCAAAAACACTTGTTTCGCATGATTTCTCGACGTATGTGAGCCCGGACATTCCAATCCGTATTACGACAAGAGGAGCAACTGCCACGCCGTCACGACCTACATTTGTTTCCTTGTCCTCAGTTTCTTCGGTTTCATCAGAGGACCTGTCAGCACCGAAGAGAAGCATACTTGAGGCAAGTACATAAACGAAACTGGGGTGTTATCTTTCAAAGAAAGTGGCATATGCAAATATACTAATATACATGAGAATATCTGCGTATTGAAGCGTTTAAAGACAGCACGGCAAGGAGAGAAGGGCGAATTGAACAGGCGTGTTGTTACCAGCACAGACAGAGGGCAAATTAAAAAAAGTGGCCGTCGTCCTCAAATGTGGAGACTTGGCTTGTCTTCTTCGCTACAATATGCTAATGTATATATGCCACCAACTTGCAATAAAGTGCGTGTTCATAATAGGGCTTGATGATTGTCTACATTGTTCCTTTGACACGTTGACGATGTTAGGCAATCTCCTCAACAGCATGTTCAAACGGTCCTCATGCACTTGTTTTCTAATTTTGTCAACATTTTCGGGGGTTGTACTCGTGGAAGGCCGCCTGGAGCTCTCTTCGTTATTGAAGTCCATACTGAAATCGCAAATGTTTGCATGCACATAGTAAAGAAAGCTTGTGTGGCACAGCTCCCAATGTTAACAGACTAACGCCCATCGCACGATGGGAGATGGATGTCGCCGCCCTCAACCGCGGCTGTGTGCACCGATGTACTGCCCCCCCTCCCCTCTACCCCTTTTTTGTGTTACAAAGCTAGTCCTGGAACTTTCTTATGGAAGTTTTTGATCCCGAAATTACTTACCCGTAAGCTTGGCACTTTGCCTTGAAGGTGGTTGTTTCAGACGACGAGGAGTCTTCGATGGGCTCAAAAAGACGTTCCATCAAGGACTGACCGTGTTCCCTTCCTTGACATCCTGCCTGTCTGACGAGGGATGTGACAAGACTTCGACCTCTAGATAAATTTTATGTCACCCTAAATCCAATCAAAACATCACCAAGCCTCTGTTCCATAAGGACGCCCCTGTCAACAATGATCACATGACGTCACGGTGGAATGAACTGGTATGCTTTATCTGTAGGTGGTGGGTTTGAACATGAAACTTTACCACTCTGCTGTATGAAAGGACAATACATACTTTCGTTGTAGGTTATTTCGGTGAAGATTGTGCAGGGAGTGTCATTTGAAATTTTCGAAAACAGTGCACCACCTGAAGCATCCTTAAACACCTGTCTTATCGTCTGTTACGGTTGAAAAAACGATTCGGTGGCCTCCCTGTTGTGAAGGTCCTTTCTGCCGACCCTCCGCCACCGATGCATGAATTGTAGTTCTCAAGTTTCGCCTAGCATCATCCAAACAAGAACCTCGTGGATTACGACCTGATATTGCCGGCCCCGGTGCGAGCTTTTCGATAAACAGCGCGCTCGAGACGAGCCGCAGGTGTATACGCTACGAAGTACGGTTTGGCACAGCGAGGCCAGGTCTGGCCTCCTTCCTGGGTTTCGGCTAACCAGAGCGGCGGGTCCCGTTCACGTCGGCTGATGACGTTTACGCCGCAGACGCATTCGATTCGAATATGTGTTGAACTTCACTGCGTGAGTCATCCTACTATTTCAAGTCAACCACCGCGAGGCTGGTGCAGCAGTGAACTGTGACTGAGCTTTGCCGGCTGGGTGTACTGTGTACGCTAAGGCAAGAGAGATGGTTAGCAGCGGGCATTGGATGTCAGCAAACAATGACTCGAGAAATCCCTACCTAAAGACCTGCGGCAGAAGATACTCTAACTCCACTCCTGGCACGTCACCTGGTTCAAGTCCCTGACTACGCAACACTTCTCAGAAGAGGGAAGAGGACGCATAGAAAAATAGTTTGGAGAGTCGGAAGGAATCTTGGTCAGCATAGTGACAATGCCCCAGCGTCTCCTTGACCCTGCAAGTGCCCTTAGAAAAAAAAAAAAGAAATGCGTTCGGACTTTTTATTTTTTCTGGAGGGGGGTTGGGGGGGGGGGGGGGAGTATCTTTTAAGAAATGTAACGAAATACATTTTATCCTGATTGTATCGCGATACTGCTCAACCCTGCTCCCGATCCCGACGGGCTCTGACCTTCTCTCCACGACGCATTGTGGCCGGTTTCACGGCTTCCTCCTGGGCGCGGGCTTTGCTTTTGCGAAGGCGAACACACTTGGGACTGTCATTTGTTTGAAAAAGCGCCGATTCCCATCCATGTTCGGCAAATAGCTGTCAGCGGTGAAGTGCCATGGAGCACTTTGGCAAATTGTGCCACCGTAAAGAACTTCCCTTCGTCCCGTTTTATGGCGATAATCCACCTTTTCTTCGCATCAAGATCTCCCGGGAAGGCAAAAAACGACACATGTAACAAGAGTAAGTAACATAACGTAGGGTTGAAGCGAAAAAATACACAATCGTTACGAATGCGGAAAGGTTTATGAACGAAAAGGCTTGCCTTGCAGCCGTTCGCGTCCCGGACGCCTCTCTGATTAATTGCATAGCGGTATACATAAATGAACTGGTTTTGTAGTGGAGTTCTACCGTGTCTCGACTGACACGGTGGGTTAGAACGGGTATGAGAGCCAGAAGCGAAAAATGCTGGAACGAACGCACGCAGGCACCTGTACGCGCGCGTACGGAAGTCATGTGCCATCCTAATGGTGGGAGCTGGACGCTTTGTGCTCCTCTCGAGAGATGGCGCTGAATTTGTTAGAGGGTCTATCCCTGGAGCGCTTAGTAAGAGCGGTCTATTGTTATTTTGACCAGTAAGCAGAAGATCATAATGTATGATATTTGTCTATGACCGATTCAATTGTTGCGTTTTCAGTGATCCCTGGAGACTGCTGCATTAACTGGTACCATTGAATAATCCACAAAAATAGACCATTGTATTGTATTGTTGTTGTATTGTATTCTGCGGCGCAATCTCTTTGAAACGAGAGTCGAAGTTCGACACACCAAAAAAGTTAAAAAAGAAAAAAAGGAAAGAAAAAAAAAAGAAAAAAAGGGGGAGAGAAGGGGGGAGGTCGTCAGGGCCCACCATCTGTCGTCGATGACCCCTGGTGGGCGGAGGGTAACAGCTATATGATCACGGTGGTCCGATCGGTACGCGCTGACTTCTCGGTGCGCAAATCACCGTCGCACTTTCCACCACGCCTCCAGTTTTTGCCTAGAACAGGCCACGTGGTCATGTTCATTCGTGAAGCCGAGTGCCTGCTCGATGCGGGAATCCCCAATGGGCGCTGGCAGGAGCTTCTGGCACGTGAGCAGCAAATGCTCGGTGGTCTCTTCGTCTTCTCCACAGGCGCTGCATGTCATGTCCGTCACGTTGCTGTCAAACTTTCGACGGTACTGTCTTGTGCGCAGGGCACCACCGCGGGCCTCGATGAGTAGGCGACTTCCCAGCGTGTTTTTGCAGAACGTTATTGGAGCGATCTCGGTCTTGAAAAATGCATACAAATGCATGCTAGTATGCTGTTGCATTCCCAATATCCAGCGCTCCCTTTCGACAGCCTTTATCTGCGTTCGCACTTTACGCACCCAATCTTTTTCAGCTTGAGGCTCATCACTCATGCAAAAGGCTCCAAACTTTGTGCCGAGGCGGGTGACACGATTCCTCCACGTCGAATGGATGTTCTTGAGGTGAATGTAGACGAAAAGTCGCCGTGCCCAGCGGTCTTCGTCCATATGCCGGAGTCGCGCGTAGTACTCTAGCTTGCTGCTGGCTTCTCGTGCCTCGAAAGATAACCATCCGACGTCTCCTTCAACAAGCTCGTCCACTTGTCCATGGCATCCCAGCGCTTGACGTCCGACATCTCTTTGGCGTCGTTCAAGATATTCACGAAGCTTGCTGGGTATGCCAATGACAGAGTTTCCAAAAGTCAGCCCGGGTACCGCGACGGCCTTCCAAAGTTCCCTGGTAACGACGTATTGGTCGCAGCTCTAGAGGCACCGTCTTCGCAGTATGTTTCGCTTACGCACTGAGGACGTCCTGAGGTTTTGGTGATGCTCAGCGAGGTAGTTTTCTGTAGCTGATAGTGTCACGCCAAGGTACCTGTACTTGGTGCAAACAGGGATCGCCGCACCCTGTAGGATGAATGGTACAATGTTCTCTTCCTGGCGGGAAAAAATAACTGTCGCTGACTTGTCAGCATATGCGAAATGCACAGCGCCATCTAGTGGGACGCCGAAGAACATGCTCCGTCTTTCCAGTTGGCTTCGGCGCTGGCGAAGGACAGGGCGCGAAAGCGTAGTTCAGAAGAATGCTTCGCTCGCTCAAGCACTCGCGCCGAGAAAGCGCTTTCAAGAAACCAGGCGCCCTCGTCCGTGCCGGCACCCAAAGTCAAATTTCGAGCGAAAGTGTACGTCCTCCATGTTGGTCGCGGTGAGAAACCAGGAGCCGGCGAGGGGACGAGCACGTACGTGCACAAGAAGAGCGCAAAAAAAAACTAACCCTTAGATCGCAGGTGTGGGTGAGGATCGATGACGGTAATCAGGAAGCCTCAAATGTTACCGACAACGCTACGAAATTAAAAAAAAAAAACAAAAAAAAAACAGCGGAGGAATTTGGGCGCAACAAAGATTGCAGCCTACAGAGTGTTGCCAGGCTTTCAAACAATTTCGCATATGGTCTTTTGACCGATTTTTCCTTTAAAGAAGCGATGCAAAAAATGTTTGTACTTTAGAAAAGTAACGCTTAGAACGAATCCCTGGCGTTAATGACCTGTTAACACGCGTTTGTTTTTCACCACAAGCAATAGAAGTTGCAGAAAAAAATGAAAGAAAAACGAACAGCGTTCACCCCCACAACTCGCAACTATAACAAGCGGCCACGTGATCTGGTGTCGGTTATATGTCGCCAATGTTAATCATAGCCGCGCGCTGGGGTTGACAAGGCACAGGACGCGCGCTGAGTTCCAGACATTGTTATGTTTCGGCTATTGTTGTCATTGCAGCGATTAGACACGGTCCACTACCCGAATTCTTCTCGAGCTATCGATTATCAAGAGCCCAAATCGAGTGCCCACGCAATGCTTGGGCCCAATCCTTGAGCCGCATTCAAATATCGTCACTGGGGGATACTGCGATCCACCAGCTACGTAATTACGTTTTGGGAAGGAGAGATTAAAAGAAAAGGCTCGCTTTTTGTCCTTGAAATGACACCGCAACAAGAAAGTTTCTTAGTGAATGGCGTTGCGTGCGAGTGTATATGGGTCCCACAAGTGCGAGTAAGGTCGTGTAAAGTGAAAAACAATCTAGGCGAATATCGTTGCACGGCCCCTTTGACTGGTTAACACTGTTTGAAGAATTGTCTTGGACCTCACCGCAGGTGTCGTGTGCTCGCACGTGGATGTCTTCATCAACGAAAGTACGGAGAACTGCGTCTCGAGATATCTCTACCCGTTCTTGGATATTCAGCTCCATCCCTTGACGGTGAGTACGAAATTCTGTTTTCTGCTAAAGCGAGTTTGTAAAGAGAAACAGGCCAGTTACCACTGTGTCCGAAGTCTATTATGCATTAAATGCAGTATATTGTATAAGAAACGATCGTTTAAATGTGTTTAGAAAGCATTAAACAGTCAAGAGCTTACATTTTGTGTCAATTTGCCCGCAAAATGTAGCGGTGAAATTATATTGGTGCACAAATCAAATTGACGACACGAAACGTGACGTGAATTTTCCCCGGAAATCTTAACGGAGGAACGTAGTTTGTGTACAGGTCACGTGACATAAATCTCCCGCTAAATTCAGCGGCGAAACTGAAGTAGTGTTTAAGTGGCGTGGCGTCAACTTCATCTAAAGCAGAACGTTGTCGCGGCAGGTCTAGTGACTAGAACACGAGCTGTCGCTTCTAAAGTTTCTAGATAAAAGCATCCTACAAGTAGAGACATTCTTTGAAACGCCAACAGCATGACAGTGCAGGTTTTAGGAAGCGAAGGGTGGCGTACAGCAGAGGTTTGAACTGAATGCCGCCATTTTGTTCCAGCGCAATGTGCTTTGTCATTTGTATTGATGGTCGTTACTTGTAAAATACGTATCGAGGGACTTTAGTCGCGACAGGTTTATTAATCATACCGAAAACACACAGGTAAAAAAAAAGAAAGTCGCTTACAACACCCTGTAACACCGAATCAGAGCGCAGCTCTTGAGGAGGAGGAGGAGGTGAGGGTACTGAGGGGAGCGTATACCCCTCCTCCCCCCTCCTCACCCCCTCATCCTGCGTGCTACCTGCTACTCCTCCCTCCGAGTGGCGTCGGCGTCGCCGTCGGCGTAACCGTGAGGTCACGTGACTCCCGTGAGGTCACGTGACGTCATCGTGATGACGTCATCAGTGACGGCACCCAAGCAGCACGGATTTTGGCCAGGCAATGGCCAATGGCTGGGGATGGTCTCGTGGCCAGCGGCCAAAGAGTGGCCATACATTGGCCAATGCTTGGCCGATGGGTGATGGCCAGTGGCCATTGGCCAATGGCCAGGGAAAGGCCAGTCATCGGCCAATCTCTGGCCACTGGCCAAAGGACCATTGCCAGCCATTGGCCAATGCTTGGCCAACTCTGTGCTGCTTGGCTGATCACGTCATCAGTGACGACATCTGGATGATGGTGATGGTGATGAGGATGACGTAATCGTGATGACGTCATCATGATGACGTCACTGATGACGTCATCAGTGACGTAACCGGTGACGTCACGCGTCCCATAATGCACCGCGTGGTTACGCCGACGCCGACGGCGACGCCCCTCAAGCTGTAAACGGGCGCCTAAGAGCTGCGCTCTAAAAAAAGAATATTACGGCGGCGCGTTCACTCTGCGTGGGTGGTTTCAGCCGCTGATTGCGAACCCCCCAAAAAACAACGGGCGCCACGACGTTTCACTTTTGGCGCTACTTCATTGGCTGCTTGGGACCGTAGCGTCTGCTACGCTCGGACTTGGCGTGAAACGGACTATACAGCAAGCAAGTGTTCCAAAATGCGTCACCCGCGGCGCATCGGAACGCATCGGGCGCCATCATTAGTTGAGGATGGGTGTACACAAAAGGACGCGGGCGCGTTTGGGCGAGGGGGGGGGGGGGGGGGTTAAAGAAGCGCTCGAGGCATAGAGTAATATAGTAAACGTAAAGAGAGGACACAGTAGCCGATTCGCGGCCCAGATTGTGCGTTTCATACCCTCCGCTACGTGGCGCTTTTCTGCAATTTGGTTAAAATTAATTAAAACTCTTTCTGTGAAAAATATTTATTTTTTAATTGGCAATGCTCTAAAATTGTTTAAAGTACTTACAACGGCTAAATAGTTTAAATCAAATACGTCACAAAAAACACGTGATGAATGGCGCCTGCCATGGCCTGCCTGCCTGCACGCCGTCGCTTCTGCATCATTCTGCATGGCCTTTGCTCGTCCCTGCGTCGTTCGTCTGTGCCGTGCGTGCCGTCCATCTGTGCTTTCTGCTGCATTATGTTCGGTCGACTTGCATCAATCAAGGTGACGCATGACCGTCCGCGTGCTCGCATGCTCGGCGTGAATTCGTGCAATCATTTCTGTAACATGGAAGAAAATTGTGCCCCACAGGTCTACTCTTTCTTGCAATCATATCCCTTGTTTATGCTTTATGCCAAGGAACTTCCTGAGGCGGCCATGGCTACAGCCCTTCTCTGTGATAGGATGTGCATACCTTTTTAACTGTCTAAATAGCTAAAAAATTCAAGAAGACAGGGCAGAAGTTGCGTCATGCCAATCTGAAGGGAGAATCTGAAATACTTTATTTTTTCCACGAGTAACTCGGATGGATTTCAGCATGGCAGTTGCAAAGTAGAAGGCAGCCATAAGCCATCATTGTGTGGCAAGTTACTATAAAAAGTTTCCTCATGTTCTGTGATAATCTTTCAAGCAGCCATGACTTGAAGTTCTTACTTACACGACGCCTGCAGCAAGACACACTTGAGTACGTTTTTGGAGCTATATACGACAAATGCTGGGCTGCAACACAAACCCAAATGTGGATCAGTTCACCTCAGGACTAAAACCCCTCTGGATAAAGAAACTGTTCAAACTTTCGGACAATGAAAACGTAGAGGATGACAAGGCTGACCTCCTAGAGGAGTTGCAAATATCTTCGCACCATGAAAGTTTAATTTCAGACTTTGTGAAATGTCTTCCAATTGATAACTTCCCGCCACTAGAGGATATTTCTGAGCTGGCATCAGACATCAAGTCTAACATAATTGATGACTCGTCCACTTTTTTTTTATCACGTTTGTGGCTATTTGATCAAGCTTTTGCTTGAGCAGACAACTTACAGCTGTGGCTGTTCTCAGCTGCTATCGGATGAGTCTAATAACTTGACCAGGCCTCACCAGTACTCTTGTTCCTAAAGCATACCACGTGCCTGGAAAATTCTTCGGGAACTTAGTAATACCATCACAGGCTGCCTTTCATTTTATTCAGCAACTAGAAAATCACTTTCTTGCCATAATAGAGAGTGTGACACATGTTCGAGAAGTCTGTGCCGCCTTGTATAGCACACTTTGAGGTCTGGGTGGTTTTAGCCTTTGCCCAGAGGAGTACCACAAAGGGTTTTCTTAAAGTTGTTTTGCAGAATACGCTTGTGTTGACATGTTTGATTTCTTAACCGGAATTTGGACAAAGTTCGCTTGCACTCTTCAGTGGTTAATAAGAACGAGACAGGTTTAACTGTTAATAGTGTATTAACAGAGGCGGTTGCCAAACCAAAAACAAAAAGTGCTTAAGTGGGCGGTGCAGCTTGCTCTCCAAATATTTGTTTCCCCTTTTTACAGCGAATGTGTATCACGGATCCCTAACAAAAATATTTGTCCACTTTCTACAAAATTTTGATAGAAAATAGTGTATAGAGGCTAAAAATATTTGAAAGAAAATGTATCCACTTTTGTATCCACTGTCCATAGTTTTTTAGCCGCTTTTTTCTGAAGCCATATTTCTTTTCTGAACAATTTCGGGGAATTGAATCTTGTCAGATTTTGAATAGAGTTCGCATTGTTTGGTAATGGCTCGCCCGCAGTGAGTTTGAGGCTATGCAAATTGGTGTTTCTTTATATTTGCCGGAAATCGGGAATTTGTACTATCCGGCGTGTGCTTCGCACTGCTATTATACTCTTATGACTGGTAATGATAGCGGTGTCTCATTTATTTCTGCACTTACTTCCCGTACCCGTGTCGGCGTGAAAGTGAATGTATCATACAGCATGTTCTCCGTGGAAAGGTTTTGTTAACTTGGTTCCGCTAAGAATCTATTACGAAGTGTACGATATGCCGAAGTCCTTCATATTCATTTATTTTTGTGAGTACCGATCTTTTTCGTATAAAACGTACAGAGCTTCTGAAGTAAATCATGTATACATGAATGTGGTCCAATAAAATGTGTTCGAACCACTTACTGTTGTTGACCCCAAAATGCTCCACCAGGCAGGAGTCAAAGCGGTGATTGTGTAACTTCAATGCTTTTCAATAGGAAAAGAACAAGAAATATATATACTTATGCTTTGTGAAGTAAGTTGAAATATTGTTTGATACATTTTGCACGGACTCTATCGTAAAAAATAAAGCAAAAGTGCGTCAGTATTAAAAAAAAAAAAAAAAAAAAAAAAAACAGCGGCTTCGGGAGTCAAGGAGCTCCCGAGAGCCGAGCGAGGCGGGAAGGATAGAGAGAGAGAAGGGTACCGGAGAACCGGGGCAGAAACGCCCAAACCCAAACAGAAACTAACTTGACCGGAAACGGAATCAGATTACACTTAATACCGCCCGCTAGGAGCGCTACCTGTCACTGGTCTATCTGGGCCGCTGGGGCCTATGGCAGTGTCCGCTCTTTGCCTTGTGTATCTTATTCTATGCTCGAGGTGCAAAAGCAGACGAACTTGCACACCACATATATAGTACAGAAAGTCGTCGTGGCGTGTCATGGGCTCCGAGATTGCCGACGCTCGTTACGCATAGGCAAGTTCGTTCGCGCGGCTCGTATGCGAGCGCGGGTGGAACGTTCAGGGTGCACGTGGTTGTCTAAACACGAAGCCCTGAAAGCAGGTTCGAAAACACGCGCTGAAAATCGCCACGCGGTAAACTTTAACGACGTTCGCATAGCCTCTGTCCTGTGCATTACCGACCCTATGCGCGGGGCAATGATTAACACTATAGACCGCGGTCATTGCCGACGCGTCGTGCAAAAGGCACTCTGCAGACACTGTCTGTGGAGTGTTTGTTTCTTGTGTGACCGACCTGTCAGACTGGTCGTACAGCACCTGTCTGTAGACGTGTGTTCCATGCGTACATATACACTTAAGAAGCAAATATGCTTCGAAGATGCTTGAAGCGTATCCGCAGATACTTCTTTCATGATGTCTACAGCGAAAAGTGTCTTTTGTACGATGTATACGAGCAGCGTGACCCCATATTAAGAGTTTCTTCAATCTGGTGCTATGCGGAGAGCAAGTCGTTCGCTTCTTGCGCAGGGGTTGCGGTGACGTCAGAACGACGCCGACTTCTGATTGGCTTTGATTGAAGGGACAGTGGGTAGACCTCAATGCTAGATGCCTTGAGGTTTACCCACTATTTGTTTCTCAATCAGCCAATAAGAGCTCGGAGTTCTTACATCATTGCAACCCCTGCGGAAGAAGCAGACCAGGGATGGGCAGTATTTCAAATACAAGTATTTGAAATACGTGTTTCAAATACTTTGTGTATTTTGCAGTTGTATTTAATTACAAATTGGGTAATGTATTTGACGTGTGTATTTATATTCTAAAACGTGGGTATTTCAAATACAATTGTAATTAAATACAGTTTTGTGGGCGAAAATACATCCCTCAAATTTATTGTCAGGACTCAATTTGCTCATCCTAAGACGTGTCCAGAGCAGGAAGAAAACTATGTTCTGCACCGAATGCAGTGTCTCTCAATCAAGCACAAGCGTTTAGTGACTTTGTGATTACGGTGCTAGTCCAGGGCAAGAATAGTGACGAAATCAACTTTCACAGGCAGACTGGCTAAATAAGTGCCTGTGACAACTTGTGATGCTTTCCAGCCTGATTTCCATCCATATCTTTGCCTGGAACATTCTAAATGCGCGGGTCGTCCCGATTTTCGTAAATGGTGCGAGTTGCAACAATAAAAAAATTATCTAGCTTGTGCTGCGCGTCTTGATCGTCTCGGTTCTTTGTTGGTCTATACCAAAATGTAATCGACAAAGAAAGCTGCTTGAAGCTCTGCACTTTTTCCACCTATTACGTCCAAGCTGATTACATTTTTTTTTGTGATTATATTTCTATTACGTTACTAGAGCCTCGCACACTAACTCCCGAGTGTGCGATGCAAAATTAAAATGAGATAGCCAGAAACCCGTTACAGGTGCCCTGAGGCCGCTGACGCAAATTTTGAGGAATGTATCTGGAAAAGTATTTGGAGGAGACCAAATACATTTCGTTGTATTTGTATCTTGCACTTAAATGCTTTTTTAGGAATGTAATTAGATTTGTAATTAAATACATTTTTGACAAAGTGTTTTGTTTTGTATTTTGATACATATTTGAATGTATTTTGCCCATCCCTGAAGCAGACGAACTTGCTCTCCGCATAATCTGCTTATGTGCTATGCGCAGCCACCGTTCGACAGACCCCGCAATGTTGTCACATCGCTGTGGGGAGCCACCTGCAACCCAATTGACCGCATGGAGGAAAGGACGCTCATGTTCGACGTCACGGTGGACGAGTGGCTCTTCATGGACAACATGGGCCCCTACGGTCTGGTCAGGGCCACGGGTTTCAATGGCTTCGGCTTCCCCTTGGTCAAGTACAGTGCAAATCACACTTGTCTATAACGCGCGAGCATGCGGCTTTCTCCGGGGAGCGCTAGACTGGTGCCATTCGCGGTAACTAAGCTAGTCACGTGGCGCAACATGGAAAGGCCCGCTCGAGGGGTGTCGTCCTACCCACTCTATCAGCTGGCGGCGAACGCGGAAGGCTGCTCGCACGCTTTTTACAAACATCATTGCTCGAACAATGAACAGAGTAAAGCACGAAGGCGTATCAACGATGTCGTCATCAAAAAACAAAAATATATCATAAAGCACTTTTATTTTTATCGCTTACCAAGCTGATAGAGTGGGCAGGACACCCCTCGAGCGGGCCGTTCTATGTTGCGCCACGTGACTAGCTTAGTTTCCGCGAATGCCACCAGTCCAGCGCTCCCCGGAGAAAGCCGCTCGCTCGCGCGTTATAGACAAGTGTGATTAGGACTGTACATAACCACTGTAGACAAAACGCCGCCCGTTCAAAGACTGGTGGACTCGATGGTGATGAGAGGAGGTTACGGTCAAGTCGAGGAATCAATCATGGCTCGTCATCCAAGCAAGCCCATCCCGGTCGCCGACGCCGGCGCAGACGAAAAGGGCTTAGAAGCGTGAATAACATATCAGCAAAGAATCAATACCACTTTGAGGACTACGCCTGCTCCTTTCCTCCGCCGCCCCCCCCCCCCCCCTCCCCCCTTAAATATAGTGGATCTCCGCAGTGCTGCCTAGCTTCCGTCAACATCACCGTTCTCGCGTCCGGCAGCGTCCCGCATTGATCGCGACTCTAGCACGCGCGGCGTAGACAAGACGGTCGCGTGTGCCGCTATTGCGGCTGCTGTCGTCGAGCTTCTGCGTGTTTGCAGCTTGGGGCGGGTGGGGGTCTACTAACCATGATGTCACGTGCAGGCCTGGTCTTCTAGGTGGTGTTGCAAGAGCTCGCCACGCTGAAGCTGTGACGTGGCGCACGGGTCTGTGCCACATCGTGGTGCTAGCGGTGGTTGCTATGGTTACGCCGCTCGGTGACGGGATGCAACGAGAATTTTTTACTCACGTTTTTCGCCCTTTAGGGCACTGCCGAGCACTGCATATGCACGATGGGATTGTCTTTCTTCTATTTTTGGTGGCTCTAGGGTACATACAGTTGGCGACACCACGCAAGAATACGTAAGTACAGCGCGACGTGAAATGCACGTATAAATCGCGGTGATAAATAAACGATAGTTTGTTATGCAATTTTTTTCGTACCTCCCTCTACTGTAATGTCCTTACAGGCGCTGTACGGTATCTGAAATAAGTAAATAAAATAAAAAGAAATAAGGAAATATAAAGGGATGGCTCGATGCTGGTGTGCATGCGATTCAGCGCTGGATCGGAGCTGTATCACTGATACAGCGGGAAGGCAAAGTAGCATCGCTGCGTCGGCAAGATCAACATTATTTCCAGCCAAACTTAACCTAAATGTGACTTTCGTGTTTATGCAGCGGAAGGTCGGTCTGCCTTTTGAGGCGCGGCAACACTGGTTTACTCAGTAGACCAGAAATTTCACCAGTGCAGTATCACTGCTTGCATGTGTGGTCTTTAACGTGCATTCACTGATCTCTACCATAGGGGGCTGGATGGCGCAGATACCTGCCCTACGAGCCTGGCGCAAGTGAAGCCACCGGAAGTTCGATGCTTCTCCCGGAAGTCGGGCATCTGCTGGGCTTCCTAGTGCGTTCGGTCGAGGTTTTATTCTGATCTTACTCGTGCCTTTGAGTGGGTTTTCATAAACCAGTTTCAAACCAAATATCGGGAATGAGGCATTGGAACGTGGGACATATGCTCACTTGAGCAACATAGAATTTCTAAATTTTCCCATCGAAGGGCTTCCGAGGAGACTTCTCGGGTCTGCATGCGCTGTTACCGCGCAACAAGCAGGCTTTTTTTATATGAAAAAAATAATATAATTTCAGTGCACTGGGCGGTGAATGAACGTGCACTCGGAAGAGTTGAAAAGCCTGTCACGCTCTCAATTCTAAGCAGCTTACTTCCGGTGGCTTCACACCTGTTTGCTCAATGCGCCATCCAGCCCCTAGTGGAGATCTTTACGTGCATCACGCAGTAATGGTAAATGGCCGCGTGCCGATACCATGCTCATCTAAATTGAAAGAGGCAGGAGCAACGTTACTGGATCAGAGAAGTTGACAAGCTCCAAGAAAAAAGTGACGCGCTGCCATTCACTGCCGCGTTGCGGCGCTCGTGTCCAAGCCCGCCCGACCCGTTCGATCTGGCTGGCCTCGGTAACCGTGGACTGCATACGCCGTGAAACATCGTTTTCGTGTGGGTTCACGAAGTGCATTACTAAGTACTGCTGCCTGTCTGATAATGTGCGGATCGAGACAACTTTTCCTGGGGCCTTTGAGGTAAATTTACGCCCGCAGGGCCGCCTTAGTTTTGGCAGTTTTCCGACAATCGGCACCATACCTCGGCATTCTCACTCATGAGTGCGATCACTCACGATCACTCACGCTCACCATCAGATTTGAGGTGATCGTGAGTGAGGCCGCGAGTCTCGAAAAATTGTGATTGTGAGTGTGAGTGTGATCGTGAGGTACGTGAACTTATGAGTGTGAGTGTGAGCGTGAGTCCTGAGAACTGATGAGCGTGAGTCTGATCGCGAGTGTGATCGCGAGTTCTGAGAACTAATGAGTGTGAGTGCGAGTGTGAGCCCTGCGAGCTCATGAACGTGAGTCTGACCGTGAGTGTGATTGTTAGTTCTTAAAACTCTTGAGTGTGAGTGTGAGCTTGAGCGCTAAGTGAAGTACTCATGAGTGTGAGTTTTGAGGTCTCTTGAGTGTGATTGTGAGTTTCGAGGCTCATGAGCATGAGCCTGAATTAAGACGTGAGTCTTTGGGTGGATATGAGTCCGGTGATCGCATTAGTCTGAGTGATGGCGTGAGCCTGAGGACCATGGCCAGGATGAGTCGCGGTGAGCGCTGGTATATTCTTAGCTGGGTTGGTCACGTGAGCTCCCGGGCCGTCTTAATGGGCGAGGAGACTCTCGCTTCGCAAGTACTGCGTGGGGTTCGGGCCTTCAGAGTTGGTTTGGGTGTCGCTCGCCTGCTCCTTCGCCATGTGAACGCGCCGGTTCCTGTGGAGGGCGGAGGAGGGGGGGGGGGGGGTGCTTGTTCTTGCAGGCTCCTCCTTGCCAGCGCCCTCCGCAATGTCTCAACCAGCTGTAGAGGGCAGAGGGGGTATGAGGAAGGGGGGGGGGGGGGGTCGCTTTCGTCTCTCCTCGGCGTTCGCTCTTCGCTTCACGGCAGACTGCGAGACGCCAACGGACTGACGGCGCCTCGAGGCGGCGCGGTAACGTCGGTGTTGGGGAAGCGCTCCTCTCTCTGTGGCATAGAAAGGTTCGTGTGTATTTCGGTTCCTGTTGTCAAGTTGGTGTCAGTGGGCACAGAATTTTATGATTGCGTCAACTCTAACGTTCGCACAGCTGCAATAAAATTAAATGACTCGCATGATCCTCATCAGCACCCGGAATTTCATTTCTCCGCGCACCTCAACGTACCTTTCGCAATGAGTCATCACTCAAGAAGTGCGACAAAGGTGGTGTCATCATCGATCGAAGCTTCGAGTGAGGTCTTTCACATTGTGTGATATCATGCTTTTAAGTGTTGTTTGGGGCAAGATGGCGCAAGTGCAGGACAGCCAGCCGGCAATGGCCAGGCGGTGCCACGAGAGTGCTGCATTCGGCGCCACAAGTGGAGGGGTCTCTCTTAATGGGTCGGCCAGTGGCCAGTCTGCCCGTCGGGCCGTGGCGAGCGGCGGCGAACCCGATTTCAGCAGTCCCCGTGTGCACGTGCGCGCCATGTCCCTTTTTATTTTATGTGGTTTTTTAAGACCATCGGGAGCCTTGATAGGTCCAAGTGTTGAGAGCATAATCTGAAGCTGTCATTTGGACACCTCTTTGAACATGTCTTCGTGCGCTTGCGGCGTCGCTCTATAATAATCGCCGCCCGATCGGTCTGTGATTCGCTCGTCTCCCAGGAAGTGACACAACGCAACGAGAAGGCAGCGAATAGGTTTACTGTACTTCCCGGTTGCCCGTCTTCGAGAGCCGGCAGTCCGGACCCGCCGACCCTAGTTGTCGCCCGTCGTTCATAGCTGGCAGTCGGAGTCCGTGTCCACGCCTGCGGATCGTCCTTCCCACGCACTGCGTACGCTAGCTGTTCCGGGCTATCACAGCTAGAGTTTCGCTGCAGAACCACTCCTGGACGGGCCCATATCAGAAGAGCGAATGACATTTTAGCGAACGGCGACATTTGAGCGAATGGTCATTTTAGCGAATAACGGGGGCGCGCGTTAACCCATCCGTCGCGCTGCGCTTTACGCCGCTTCGCGGCAACAGTGTACGGGAACTCATTACAAAAATGTGAACTCACTTGGCCCACCCGAAAACGCCGCTTCGCGGCGTCCGACTATTCGCTAAAGTGTCGTTCGATGAAACGTGGGCGTTCGCTAAAACGTCATTCGATCAAGTGAGTGCCTCCCCTCCTGGACCGTCATGGACTAGGCCGATAAGGCCAGGCTCGCCGTTTCCGCCGGTCCTGATCCGAAGCTCGCTGGTAGAACGCTCCTGGGACCGACATGGGCCGGACCAGCCAGAACGGCTCTATCGTTCCTGCCCGGCCCCAGCCTCGTGCAGCACGCTCTTCCTCTTTCCTCGCCGGCTGGCCCCCGCTCGCGCCTCGCTCGACCGTCCTCTTCTTCTCCCGGCGCCCCCACGACACTAGAATAAAATGTGGGTAATTAGAACCAAACTCTCCGTGCTAGAGAACAGTGCACAAGTCTGGCGACAGGATATGAGAAGGATATTTACGCTTCGCATGAGCTTTTCCCAGAAAAAAAGTGAGCATCCTGTTTTCCGCACGCCGTCGGGAACTGGTCGAAGGGCATCTCGCTTGAAGACCTGATCGCCTGATTCTCGACGTCAAAGCGAAGCAACAATCGGCCCAATTTTTCCGACTGTATTTCTCTAAATGGTTGTCTCAGAGACTCGTAAAAAAACTAGTATAAATACGTTATTTTGCAAAAGGAGTCTGTCAGACCACTTTCCAAGCCTGCACATCTATTTTCGTTCACTTCAACAATTAATGTAAAATTCACTTACTTGATGCATCGCACTCCAGTAATCTACTTTGTCGCCGTGTCGCTTCCCAAGGTCTTAAAGGGAAGCGGTAAAGTCTGACACTTGGGTCACCTGCACGACCGTGGCAGTCTTTCACGCAGCAGTAGCGGCGTTTATTTTTGGGGAAAACTCTAGGCTTAGGGGAGATGTCACAGGAACCCGGAAAGGTCATAGAGACGTGAAGTTGAGACTTAATTTTATGAAAAAACAGTTCCAAAAAGGCTCTCGCCGATTCAAAATGCCACGTTCACACGTGGTTTCTAAATGCGCCCGCCCACAGTCCTCGCGACCCAGGCCGTCCTGGACTATCCAAGTTGTTTTATTTTTCAGTCGCTAGATGGCGCAACGTGTCGTGCCAACTTCCGAGCTGCATTGCTGGTTGCCTATGGGCACACTTAGCAAACTGTGGAAGCTACGACTCAGTGGGCCAATTAGAGCG